GATCTGCAGGTCTCGAAGAAATTCATCGCGGCTAAAACAAAGACCGTCATTATTGATATTATGTGTAAAAATTTAAACTATATGTATGTATAAATACCTTGGCAACATTTTAATGCGACGTTTCGTCGGTGGTTCGATCGTCGTTGTTCGTTCGTCCCCAATACTTCATAATATTATATTATATTTCGTGGTAACTATACATATAGCAATAGCATTTATAGCATATAACATATATTATATACAGCGTACTTATATAGCCAGACGCGCAGCAGTGATATATGTACATTGCATTTCACGAAGTAGCACAATGGAAAAAAAATTTAAATAAATAACGTACAAACATATTATTATATTTTATATATTGAAATAAAGTGGAAAATGCTTAACGCATTAAAAAAAAAAAATAATAAAAATACATACGCATAATAGAATGCTCGGCGAAAAGAATGAATCGGGCAAAAACAATGTATAAGCGCATGTGAAACAGAATCATTTATTGTTTGATCGTGATTTTTCGATAATATAATATGATATAGGTACCTATAGTATTATTATATTATGCGAACAAAAAATGTAACTAAAATCATTGAACGTTCCGAAAAGAAAAACCCGATCTCTTTTCTTTCAACTGAATAATATAGCTTACCTATAAATTGAACAATTTTCTTCGTATACTATCTACGAGCACGCTGCATAATATATTATTAAGAATAATAATTTTCAGTCGAAAAACGTCCGCGTCGACCCATAACCATGCAACCAGGTTGTCAAAAAAAAAACCCCCCGAGGACTTAAACGGTCCCCGGTTAATCCACAATAAGCCTCGAGGCGAGGAATCCGATGGAAATATATAATAAGCTTTTTAAATTTGATAAGCCTGTTAGCACAGAAACGAGTGCAAAATTGCGTCCGATTTTACACTCGATTTAGTAACTAGCAAGTCGACGGAGAGACCCATTCGTTTTCTCTGTTTGATTTTTATTCGTCACATTATTAAACACACGTATTATATTATGTACAGTACTACTATTGCTCCGATGCCCTTAAGGCGATTTTCGGTCTTAAAAACCGAACACAATGGCCGCATAATGCGCGCTAAACGATATACGATTCGGATGTGGATAGCCGGGCATTATTCGCGACTAACGAGCGGGAAATAATAAATAAATCGCGAACAAACAACATGATAATAACATATTATACAACATTATATCGTTTGCTGCTGCGAACCAAATAATACACATAATAATACACTGCGCGACACATATTATTATATTATTATATTGTACACTGACCACCGATGTATATATACATATATAATATAGGTATAACGGTTGGTAGGTATATACTGCACGTGCAGTACATAAGTCGTACCCATATAAATAAAATGTTACGAATTGAAATAAACTATATAACATTATACCCGGTGGTGTCGATTTTAGGTGCCCTGTCGTTCGACCATTGTCCGCGTGTGTAAATGCTTTTGCGGGCGGACACAACAATAAACAAAACGCCGAAAAAAGGCAAAAAATCGTCTTTGAAACGCCCTACATGACGAAATAATACTACAGAACAGTACAAAATATTATCCGTATTTCCGCCACCTTAAGACATAAATATTATGTCCGTCTATCGGTGACCGGCTCCAGAAGGATTCGGTTCGAACTCGTTCAAAACTTACATACAATAATAATAATAATGTGACGATGACTGTGTACTGTCACTTTCGGTAAACTATTTTATTGCTATTACCTTCTATAATATAATGTGATGTACTATGCAGTGTGAAGTCCAGGGGTATTATACGTCCACTGCCTTATTGTCGGAACTTTTGACCTTTAAACGCTGCAGCTAAACTGTGGCCAATCGTTTTTGAAGGAAGTGCCTACAGAAGCTTCTTAAATCCAAAACGCACGCCTATGATATTATAATATAATTTGTATAATAAACAATAATTACAAAATGGGCTAATGGGCATGGTCGGCGCTGATCCTTAAGATCAATAAAAAATAAATAAATAATTACAAATCTCATTTTTCGTCTAATTTAAACATTTTTTTTTTCTTACATTGAACGTTGCAATATAACTGATTAAATATTAAATTATTTTAAAACACTTATTTCGTACAGCTGCAAAATTCGTGTCGTGATTAATTTTATCTCCCACCCCCAACCGATTCGCTTCCAGTGTATAGGAGGTACCTACAACCTATGAAAAAGCTTTCGCTGCTGGTTCCCAAGGAATGCTAATCGACAAATAAAATATACAAACAATATTTATGAGTTTAATACACGTAATTACGTGAACGCATAGGTACTTCTGTGTAACGATTGGTACTTTTACATTATACTCTCGATACAAATTTAAACTATACATATCATTACTTTAACACGAATTACATATTTATAATTCTGCCGACAACGAGCTAACTTTTATACCGTATTTAAATTTTAAACATAGTTTTTTTTTTCGTCCTTATAAACATGTATGTGCAATTCACAGTATTTATATAATATACATTTTTTATATTTATTCATTTGAGTATTCCGAAAAAAAGGTTTTGCAACAGATTTAGATGCAAATAATATTATAATATAATGTCCTACGTTTTTTTTTTATTGGGTAGAATTTTATTTTGCTTTTTAATTCACTTCCCTGAGTTAAATATACCTCAATATTGTTGTACAATATATACGATATCAATCATGTTGAAATTCAATACATTTCCCAGAACTCACTAAGGTTTGCTCTAAGAGTTATTTTTACATTGGCTGTCTTAGTTTTTTGTAAATTGTATATGAAAAGGAAACATCGATTTTTTATTCAGATACCGTCGAACATCCCGTCAAACAAAATGTTTAATTTTCTATTTAATTAATATTCGTCAAAAACAAGAGGAATATATTTTTCTTTTCAAAGTTAGAATTTTTTTCTCAATTCAACCAATGTAAGTTTCAAAGAAAACCCATGGCAAAAACAAAATTAACTTGCCAGACGTGTATTTTTTTTCATTTTAACCCCCGTACATAAAGGTTTGTAAAAAAAGGCACGAGCCTCATCCGAGCACGAGTCAAAAATAATAAACGTAACAAAAAAAATTGTATATAATCTAGCAAATAGGGGCTGCTTCTGAATTGCAACACGCGTCAATTTTATTCGTTTTTTCGCTATTAAAAAAAAAAAAACGGTTTTCTCTTCTTTCCCAAAAAGTATATATTTTTTTCCCTTCTTTTTACACAATATGAATCGAACAATATCCATTATAATGGATTTTTTTCCGTGTGCTGCACTGCTGCTGTAACCGGTTTCGCACACGCATATCGCATCCCATGGGAACGTGTTTTTTCCCCAATTTTTATCCATCCTCCCCCCGTCACCCCGCCAAAACGTCCCCTCAGACCGGACACGTTTCCGTTGATTTTATACGTACCTATACACCTATACAATACATATATATATATATATATATTGTGTGTGTTATGTGTATTCAAATTTTTACGCACCCGATTTGCATTGTGTATATGTGTGTGTGTTTTTTTCCTATTCGTCGCAACAGGTATTGGACGTGGCAGGCAAACAACGGACGTAATTTCTATAAAAAGACGACACCCTAATATGCTAGTGAGAAAAAACACGGAACGTCGTCGTATGCTTTTTGGGGACAAAAACCGTTTTTTTTCTTTTACCCCAAAAAGCATAAAAATCCCCCAAGACAAATCTTCGTTTCCGGGTTGACTCTTAACGGTTTTTTTTCCTAGCCATCGGATAACGGTTCCTCAACGCGACACATTTTGTGTATAAACACTGTTTTTTTTTTTAGAACTATTTCTTACAAATATTTTTAGTATTTCTGTTCGGTCTTCGTATAGTATACAGCGTTGTAAGTATGTTAAATAATAATGCTTTAACTGGGATTTACTTTTACTACGTAAGATGTAGTATTTAACAATTAAGTGTAAATTTTATTTTTCTGCTATCCAAGATATCTGCTTTTTTTACGGCAATAAATCCACTGCGCTGGGTCCGCGATCCAATACGCGATTCTTTCGTGCAAAATTCGATCGAATCAACAGGTTTCTTCCGTTCGATGAAAATTAAGACATTCAAATAATACACGCATATTCCCATATATTTTAAAGAAATATTAATAATGCATATTCAAACAAAAATGTAAACAGGTAAATGTGTAAATTAATTATGTTAATTTTAAATTAATATAAGTACGTGGCCTTATACCGTGACTTCCGCCAGAGGAAATCTAAGGTGAGCTGTATTTCATAATATTATGTTTGTATAAATTCTCCGACCGCATTGATTATAATATAGTTATTCATGTTTTCTATACAGTGGTCTATAGTGACACGCGTTTATGGTATATAAAACTAAAATAAAAAAAAAAACTGTTCATGTTCGAATAATGCATCGTTCCATCAAGTGCATCGTATCTGAACGCGAGTTTCTAGAGTCTAATTTACTCGAGGGTGTTCGTTATTTTTTATGAACATTAATTTTCACGCGGTAGCCATTTGTTTCCCGAGTGTTCCGTGCACTGCACGGCCATTGCCGGAGTCTTATTTTTAGCGAAAAAAAAAGAGAAAGAAATGGGGGAATGCAAATGAACGGCTTGTGTATATACCTATATATTATATATTATATTTCTTTTTTTCTCAACCCCCGCAACTTCTTTTTTACCATCTCTGCGTAGTAATTCTCGTCTTCGAGAGGGTGCAGCAGCCTCCTCAGGTCTCTTGCCTCGCGACCAACCATCTGGTTTCCACCCTTCGTCGTCGTTCGCGAGGGCTAAAAATTCGTCAGTAGATATATACACAAAAACGCAAGCGGCTCGTTCTTTTTTTACGCCAAAATACAGACGGAAAAAACTACCTCGTGGCTATATACGTGTATATAAATATATAAATGTGTGAAACACGTTCCGGTCGCCGCGTTGCCGTACTGCCACTGCAGCCGCCGAGGTGTTTAAAAAAAAAAAAGAGTATGATAATAATATAATACCTACACCAATATAATGAACTATAATACCTACCCTTCGTATAAACACACATATGTACACACATTATACATTATGTTCGTGAACAGAAATACCTGCAGCAGTGCCTATTATGCTCGACGGGGCTATTCTTCGATGGTCAACGCACGCAATACCTATACATCTTACATGCCCACTGTCCCCCGAGGTTTTCATGACAGTCATTGTTAATATTGGACACACTCGTCGGCTTAATAGAAATATAATATTTGTATCTTTTTATTTGTTCTATAACAAAAACTGACTTTAAAAATTGTCTTCGAAACTGCAGTTGGTATAGGTCGTAACTCGTAGGTATAATATAAGGAATGGATGTATGGCGAGAATTTTTTCGATCAAAATAATAGTATTATACATTTATACGATAATATTATCTGCCACAATATTTATCCTTAAGAGCACTTCGTACCCACGTGTGTTGTCTCCGTCTTATATACCTTAGGTACACACATAACTTACCAAAATTGTCCTTCAACAGTTTCAATTGTGTGTTGTTAGCTTGACAATGTTCTAACTTATAAGTTTTCAGTTAATAAGTAAATAATATTCACTAACTTCTATTAAAGCTAACCACACAACACTTGAACTGTTGAACGTACATTTTGACATGCATTATGCGTTACTGGACGGAGACAACACATCTTTATAATAACGATCGCTGTAAATATGCAAAGTACTTCATTTTTAAAAACTGAATCATTTTATGCACCAATATTAGGAATTCAACATTTTATTATAATGTTGTGAATTCGAGAAAAATGAATTCGATGGTAGTTTTCTTGTTACCGCAAATGTATTGTAAACTTCAGATTTCTACCGTGAACGGTGTTCATTGATAGATTTTTTTACTCTTGACACTTTGACATTCCCCTGCAATGTACTTTACGTTTAACTATGGTGCTACTGCAAAAAAAAAAGAATCTATAAAGGTATAATATGTACAATGTATAAATATCCCACCTTGAATAGTAATAATTGTCGGTTCGGCAGCCATTGTAAATGATTTCATTCAATACTGAAATAAAAAAAAAATCACGATAACAATAATCGACGAGTGTGTACGGCGTATATATATATACAAACAATCATTAAAAAATATAGATCATCGATCCGGCCACGCGACCCCTTTAGCCATTGATTCCAATAGAATAATAATGTATATATACCAAACCTCTGCTTGTATACATATATATAGTAATAACAATAACGTAATATATCAATCGGTAAATGTATTGCCCTACTCGCGGGCACGCGAATTAAACTCAATGGGTTTACGATATAAATTTTTTTTTTTACCAACGACGACGACGACGGTGGCGTCGAAGGTGGGGCCGGGAAGACAACACGACGGACGAACGAACGGGGGGGAAAAAAAAAAGCAAAGACAAAAAATAATAAAAGGAATAAAAACAACACTGGTCGCCGTATATACGCGCGCGCCACAACAACACGAGCGACGGAAAAAATGTGTCATTCATTAAATTACCCCTCGAACGGTGTGCAGGACGAGTAGAGGTACTTTGGGAACATTTTTTTTTCGTCGTTGGTGGAAAAAAATATGTATTTTTTTCCTTGTGTTTTTTTTTTTTTGTATATATATTTTTACGGAGGAACAAACTATTAAATCGTTTACTCGACTTTTTTATTTCTCTGTTTTTTTTTTTTATACAACAGACACGCGACTTACACCCCACTTTGCGGACGCGCGCGATTTGACGCCCACTGAACAATATACACATCATATTTAAGCTGTAGGTAAAAAAATTGTAAAAAAAAAAAATCGCCTTTTTTTCTCCAATGTACACATGAAACATATTACGTATTATAACATATTATACTATTATACTGGTTTGTGATATTCCATATTAACGTAATTACACCGACCGACCGACCGTCCGACCGCGTGCTGGTGATGTATATTATAGCGACCAGTGCAGCGCAACGCGATTTACGACCTATACAAACATAATAGTTACAATAATATTATTACATTAATCGCTATATGGTGTGTGTGGTGGTGTTTTTTTCATGTGCGCACACTGCGCGTACGTCAATTAAAACGATATAGATATTAATTTTTTTTTTTTTAAAGAATTTTTTTTATTTTAAACGCCAAGTGTACATGCCGAGTGCAGTTGTATAAAATATATTCTAATGTAATAACGCAAAAATAAGACAAATATAAGAAAGACTCCTGTGTGTGCGCGTGTGTGTGCGTATGTCTGCGTGTATGTGTGTCATCTCCGTAAACAATATGTCAGCGTAATATATTATTATACTTTCGTGTGTATTGCGTATATAATATGATATTCAGATGTTTTATGACTTTATCACACTATTACAATCTGATAAAATAAAACACTGAAACATTTCGCTTTGCAGGTTTCAGGGTAAGCAGTTTGTTTTGCATTTAGGTACATGCACATAATATCTTTGAGTTTATTATTATATACTCAATGATACTCGATGTGTATCCGTTTTGTCTTCGGTCTTATTACAATATTTATCACTATATATATTATATTATATAGGTATAATATTGTTTGTGTTACACGACCTTATGAATTATATGATGGCATACATTAAACAATCTAATGGATCTGTATCCCTAACCTAACCCAATATGTACGCTGTTACGGATATATAATATATACAAGCAAAAACTGGTACTTGAATTATAATAATAACATAAAAAAATTATACTTTGTAAATAATTACATTTTTTTATACACACAGTTTATCGGTAAACTATATTACATCTACCTACATCATATTATTATAATGTGTCTCGTCAGTACTTGCGTTGATATTATTTGAAACACATGTAAGAACTACCTCCAATAATGATATGGGTACCTATTGGATATTATTAATGTCCGTTTTTACAGTGTCTTTGCAGTCTCCCTAGGAGTTTTTACTCGGAAATAGGTACAAATACGAATGTATCTTCACCGTTCATTCGTTTTAAAATTCAACCGAAAGTCACGAAAAGATGTTTTTTCGGAAACTGTCGATTATATTATTTTAGGGATGGCGTTCACTTCTCGGAACGCGTGACGAAAGACGTCTTGATATTATTATTATTTACAAGTCATAAATATAATATATTTTATTGTTCTAGTGACAGATCACAAATCACAACGTATACATATAGCATATTATACGCTATGTACGTAAGCTACGAATATGACCATATATACGAAAACTGTAGTTCAAAAATAAAATCGGTTTTTCATAGTCGTTTTATTTTTTTTGAAAATGTACGACGATCATTTGCAGAGTATAGGTATAATAATAATATCGTCTTCCTAAAACTCGAAAAAATATATCCGGCGCGTATATTCCTGCGGGAGTTGAGTTTTGTCATTAATATTCCGTCTTTTTTTAAGTTTGTTAATTATATATACCTCCTGTTGACTGAGTGCAAGTCTTTAAGATCGTTTTTTTTCCGGAGTTGTTACGTATACATAGCACATTTCTCGCTGCAGTTTATATTTGTTTTCGGGCGAAAAGACGTTTGCGACTACTGCTCACCTACGTATATACAATCATATTAAAAACATGCCGTTCTGAGTGAAAAAAAACTAAAAAAACAACACCGTAATGCTCCAACTCGGCGGCGGCGGCGGCGGCGGTGACGTCGATAAATTATAATGATGTATAAAAAAATAAAAGACCAACGGTGGCGTTGCAGTCCGCCGCCCATGCCGCGTGTAGTACCGGTCGTGTCACTCGTGAATTTCCAATTCGATCAACATTCAACTACCTATCTATACAAACGCAAAAATAATAATAGTAATATATTATATTCATACCACTGTCGTGGTTAAGGTAACCGCGGTTATATTATTATATTACTATTTGAGTTTGGTTTTTTTCTCGGGGGAGACTATATTATAAGTCCGTTGCGCGCTGCTCCTGATGGCGTTGTGTGTGTGATGTAACCAACTCGTACCTACGACTGTAAACACGCAAAATCGCTTACTGTGCCGCGAAAAACGCGATTTGAGCGTAAATTATTTTACTGTAAGGCATCGCACGTATATATAAGTAGGCAGTAATGTTTTTTAATTTGCAGTGTTATTATTTATTTATTTTAATGCTTGCCGAGCGTTCCAGATTTAATTTGGCACTACTGTGTTCGCCGCGCTCTTGTGCGCTTATTATGCAAATCATTCGATTCTTTTGCTCCCCACGGCGAGAGAAAAAAAACGCTTTTCACAAGAGGGGTGACTGGGCAAGCATGCGGGCAATTATTATATACATACATACTGCTGCAATTGTAGGTAGGTATATAGTTATAATAAAAAGTCCGAGCTGACAGCAATATGACGACGACGACGACGACCGTTGTTCGTTAAAACTCACGTGGTATTGATCGTTTATTATATTATAACAATATTATATTATGGTCTGCAGAATTATATTAATCATGTTATAATAATATTATTATACCTAACACGTTTATGAAAACATTAGGTACATCCTCCCGTGGTTAGGTCTGCATCGAGATTAAAGCTGTTGGTTTATTATTATTGTTCTTTCGTCAAACTATATCATGTGATTTTTTTTTTACTTTTTGTTTCCGTGAGTTTGTGTCGTAAAACAATCGAACCCTACACTTTTGTCTATATATATATATATATTCTATAGAGGTGATATAGAAATAATAGCCAACTCCACATAATAATGTTTATATATATATACGCGATATACCTATATAACGACCCTCGTATTTTTTTATTAAACGATCAACAAAGTGTGTTTACTCTAACTTGTCGTAATTCGCTTACGATTTTTTTTCCGAATCGCTCCCTTATTATTATACACTACTCCTTGTATGTTACAATTTGAACTGTATTTTTTTTTCTTACACGTTTAATATAATCGAATAATGAACGCCCGCTGGTTTAACGTTATCGTTTTCCTAGACAAAGCGACTAATAAGCCAAAACATCCCTTAAATCGCAATAAAAATAAATAAAAAAGTTTTTTATACGTTACAATGTTACATAATCGTTAATTTATAATAAATATATAACACGTAGTACCTATATGAACCCACACAAGCCGCGTTCATAAAAGAATAAAGACCATGACCAATACGCGATCTATAGAGAAATATCTAGTGATTTTTTTCGGTTTTGTTACCATTATAGAGTTCATACATAATAGACATTATATACATTATTTGTTATATTATTGTATATTTTATGGAATCCTGAAGCGGAAATGTCCTTGGGCATATCAAGGCTAATAATATATACGACATATATATATATATTATACATAACTTAGTTCTGGTGTTTCAGATTTCAGGGCGACTCCTAAGGCTTTCTTATATGATTTATTTACGAGTTTTCTGCCCAAATGTAAAAAGAAGTGCGATAATGATAAATCATTGAACGGTAATCGTTCTGCAGAGCTCATTTTGTCTATACATATTTTTATTTTACAGTAGGCGTTAGACTTTTAGTGAACACTCTCGGATTTCGGAAAAATGTTATTAGACAGTTAGTCGTCAGACCCATAGCATGTAATAATAATAATAATAATAATGACAACTAAAATTACTACATAACCTACATTACATAGAACTTTTCCAAATGGCGATCGAGTAGAGGAAAGGTCAAGGATTCAATGATTCTATTTGAATATATAGTTAGGTATCTATTTGAAATCACTGTAATGCGGCAGTTGAATAAATAATAATAATATAGGTACGTAATGAGTGGGTACTCGCGATTGTTTACTTATGAAACACGTTTTCTGTTCATTATAGCGTAGCAAAAACGGCTATATATTATTATAATTATTTAAAAAGTGTTTAATTAATTATACAAACGCTGCAGCGTTGCAGCGTGTAATGCAGTGTGACTCATATACTGCACTTATATAGCAAAATAATAATATAGGTAAACCATGGCGCATACTATATTCTTACGGCCTACTAGTGTAATATGATAGAAAATTTACATTTAAAAATATATTAATAATATAACACATATCTTACCTCGTAAGCTAAGTGGTGTATGATTTTACATACTTTTATTCGACTATCCGGCCATTTATATGACTTCAATTTACCAAAATGCACATCGACAATCGACATTGAATTTTAGCTTTTACGATGCCAAGATGGTATAAACAGCAGTTTAGGAGCCGCACGACGACCGCACATGTTAACATTATCGTTATGTTATGGTTCATACTTTTATGTAAATCAAACGAACCTTTTTTGATTTACTTATCATCGGTCTACTGCAATGCCTGACCTGAAATAATTCACGATTTCCATTTATAATATCCCGTGCACATTTAATATATTTGAGATACCTACCTACTTAATAGTATATATATATAATATATGTATGTATTATGATGGCACTGAATTGACATTTCGATTGCGCACGAATTAATTAATTATTCATTTTACTGTAATTATTTTATTATATTATACGTTTATTAAAATTATTATACTCGTTTTAGATTAGGAATCGTATTTTATTTTTTTGTGATTGAAGTGGTCTACACCTATATATTAACGTTTAATGAATACGGCGATTGAGTACCTATTCGAAAATCTATATCGATATAATATAATCATCTAATTGAAATTATATAGCTACTAGGTAGCCTGGTACAGTGTAACTCGATATAACGACAAAGTCAAACGGAGTGGTAATTTTGATTAAATTAATTGGAGAAGATGTTAAATTATTTCCATTATAAATAAGAAACTACTATGCACAGGCACATCATATTATGCCATAGATTGATGAGTATAGGTACTATTGAATAAAGCCATTAACATTAGAGTTAAATATTACCTATAGGTATTATATATAATTACTTTTTAATCAATCAATTCCCCCCCTCCCATATAGCAGCGCTTTTAATAGGTTTAAATAGATAATTAGATACTCCATCATTTTAATACTTTTAATTATACAAACACACACTATAATACAGTTCAATATCCCGATTTCCTTCACGACTGTCCTCGCACCAATGGGAATTATTATACTGCTGCAGTTCACAACAGTGTCCGGTGCGGAAGAATATTATAATAGTAAAAACAATAATAAAACTGTCGATTAATTCAAATTTAATCAGAATTGGCCAACGACGACAATACGAACGTATAATATTATTATTATAATATATTTGGCGTGCAGATATTATATTGTACGTTTCGTGGAACTCGTCCACGTTCTTCGTCCATTTCCGTACGTATTATAAATAAATTATAATACTATAAAATATAAGAGACAAGTGCATTGTTCTAGTTCTCGTGCAGCGCCACGACTACGACGTTATCGACGCACGTCCGTTTGGACAAAATTGTCGAAAAACTCGTCTCGAGTACGCAAAGCGGCACGTTATTTATTTCAAATATTATATAGGAATTATTCAAATATAATAACGCTCGGAAGTTTTTCCACGATAAATAACCGCGGCCACGGCGCGATAACAACAATGTTATCCGTGCTGTTTCGTCGGTATTTTTTCGACATTATAACAATTATTATGTGATATATTATTATTTTTTATTGCGAGTTACGTCGAGAGCAAACGCATTACTATACGGTGTTGTGGTATAACGTGATTTTATTATTGTTTACACAAGTAAAAATGGCTTCAAGTCGGCGACGACGACGACTAATGCGCGAGTTTACCGTTCACACCCAACCACCCGATGACCGGTGGCGCAGGGGACTCCCTGGACTCGGTCGCTCGCTGCACAATATAATTTGACAATAATATTATTATGCAATTCGAAAACATCGTACAATAATATTGAAGTTGCGCGTAAACGAAAAACAACGATAACGTGTTATATTAGAGAGTCGTGCCGATGAAGACGACGACGTATTATAGTATATTACTGTGTTGGGTCAGCGGTCGGGTGTCATCGCGGGCACGACCTGTTCGCGGTAGATTGTTATTATTATAATAATGATAGTAATAATAATAATAATAACAATAATAATAACAACAATAACAATAATAATAATAATAATATTAAGTCGGAAGAAACGCCGCGGACGAGTAGGGCGGGGGAAAAAAAAGCCGACAGCGAAAAAAAAGACTTAGCGATCGCGCTTATACACACTACGTTAAGCGAGTCGTCGTATAGTATATAATAGTAATGTATCGGTAGAAAAAAAAGTTATGAATGAATTTATGTTGGCAAATAAACACACACGCACACGGACACACACACTCACACATGCTTACACGGGCGCGCGTATAATAGTAATAATATAATGTGAGTGTGAGTTGTGGTGTGCGTGTAGAGTATATTTTTTTTCCTTCTTTTACCGATCGTTTCAGCTGCCGCCGCCGCCGCCTGAGTTGCCGGTGCACACACACGCACACCACGTACGTACGCGGCTGGCTGGCCGGCCGGCCGGCAGTTCTATTTTTTAACAACGCGCGCGGACGAAAAAATAAAAAGCCCACCGGCCCTCCTCCGCCCGTTCCTCCACCACTTCCTCCGCCATCGCCGGCACCACTGCCACCGCCACCACGAGGCCCTCCACCGCCGCCGCCGCCGCCGCCGCCACCACCACTACTAGCCGCTCGCCAGTCGCCGTTACCCCCACCACCTCTTGTACGGGATTTTTTTAATGGATCCCAAACTACGGGCGGCGGCGTCGCGGCGGACGACGGCGAGGCGGTGGCGGGGGGTCCGGCTCGCTGCTCATTGTGACACCCTACCATCATCGCCGCCGGTTTTTTTATTCTTTTTTTTTTCATATATATTTTTTACCCGAGCTCGTGTAGACACGGCGGGACGGTCGGGCGGGCGTCGCGGGGACCCTCCACCGCGTGCGCCGTTCGACTGTCGCGGCGGCGCGGTGGCGGGGCGAGTTTGGTCGTCGGCGGCGGTGGGGGACCGACGGAGAGTTCTCTTCGTCGTCGGCCGCCCAAACCGCACACTCGCCGAAACGAACCGCTCACGTACGGACCGGTGTCTGCGTGCGAGCTCCACACATAATATACACACACACACCGCAAAGTAATTGTCGTGTCGTCGTCGTCTCCGCGTACAGTGTGTGTTAAATATCAATAATATTATTTATTTATTGGTTTTTTTTTTTTTTACATTTAATAATAATTATTACGTGAATTTTTTTATCCGCTCAGACCGTGGTTGTAGTTATAATAACCTCCGAACGGTACCCGTGTTGTGTGCGTGTGCGTCCGTCCCGCGTTTATTTTTTAAACTCACCACCGGCTATAATATTGTCGATATTAAATTGGTACAGTTTTCATTGCAGCCCGTCACTCGTGGGCCCGGTGAATACATGCTTTTGGGCTGTGCGTTTTTTCGCCGAGAAATTATTGTAAGCCCAAAAACCGCACCCGCATACGACCACGATCATCCCTCGCGCCGCCGGTCATTTGAATTTTATGTGAACACGACCGTGTGCGCGTAACGCCGGCGCCGCCGCGCTTAGCAATCGGTGCTGTAATCCGTACGCCGTCGGCATGAAGTACGATTTCGCTATGGAGAACTGTTTAGGGACCGACTATCCGAACCTGCACGAACTCAACAAGAACTGTTATGGGTTCTCGCCGGCCAGCGTGCAGAACGGACCACAGGCCGTTGCGGCCGCGGCCTCTGCCGACGAACAGACCATGTACAAGGTAACGATCACACGATGATGAATAATTAATTATAATAAATTATGAAAAAAAATCGCCTGATAAAACCGAAACCCTCGAGAGTCGGTCACCCTCAACTGTATCTGACGGCTGGGATAGCCTAACTAATCTAATCTGCATCGGACACCACCCCCACGGCTGTTTTTGGGATTTTTTTAAAAAAACGATTTTCCCCCCCGGCTTGACCGAACGTCACTTAACGCCTAAGTACATGCAATTGTGGCTTATATTTTAAACGATTATAATATTATCGCCACGGCTCCCTGATCGCCGGCACTTTCTATTACTTTCGTCCGCGGCTGAATAGCCTATTGAGTCTTGTGTTATAGGTACATTAAAAAAAAAACCAACCTATATGCGTATGTATATGCGTACCTGAATAATCCGGAGATCACGGCACGGTTACTAATGCGACCAGAACATGTCAGATAATCAATTATACTTGCTTTTTTCTTTCTTATTATTATTATTATTATTTTTTTGTACATTTCTTTGGTCGAATCGTCCGAGAGTTTTCCCTCTTGTTGTCCGCCGGTTTACGAAAAATCCAATACACATCACGACAACGACGACCGTTATCATTGTGTAGAGAGTATTAATGTATTATTATGCCGTGTGCGGGTGTTTGTATAGGAACCCTATTATTTTTTATTTTCTATATAATTTTTAAGACGTATTTGCTGCAGGTAGTTAGTCCCGTTCCCCGGAATCGGTCGTCCAACGTCCAAAACTCTCAACTTCTCCAGATTCCTTACATTATAGAAACTCACAAACATAATGCGTCCCACAATGACTGTATGGTGATGCGCCTATGACTCTTTCTAGTATGTTCTTGTGTGTACAAAGATTTCTAGTCCGAAATTCTGGCTATCGGTTAACCGTTCTAATGGTGCACAGCGCACACGTTATTTGTTGTCTATTGCAGGCTTATTAAAAGAAAGCCATCTCCCCCACGAGTGTCTGTAGTCTGAATGACCACGACGAAGACCATCAACCATAAGCATTTATTTTGTGCGACAACTGCAAAAAACGTATTATATTTTTGTTTGTGACTACCTAACGACCTACATTGCACTCGACTGTAACACTCGCGCACATATTATGAAATGTCATTACATACCTATAGGGATAAAACTTAATTCAGCATAAGCCACTTATCACTGCTGCACACCGAAGCTGTTTTCGCTGTTACATGTTCTAGAAACACGATGAACCGCACGTTCGAATGCTCTTCCACTAACCATAGTGTATGCATGATAATATGTGCCAACTAAATAACGCCGTACTCATCCTTCTTTTGTATAGTAGGTAGGTAGGTAACGTTTTAACAACTGTCACACGCGCTCACGAAAAAAAAAAAATCAATATTGACGTTTTACGAAACGTGTTTGATATTATGCGGTAAAAAAAATATAAAGCACCCGCAGGATAATGTGTTCGTTTGTGTGTGTGTGTGTGTGTGTGGTGTGTCGGAACACTGAGCGTAAGTAAGTATATAAATCGCGGCGGCGGCAGCGTTGCCAAGTCGAACCGTCGTCGTCGGCGTGCAGCGGGGTGTCCGCCACGGACAGATAATAATAACGTCATCGCAGCCGTCGTTATCACCGGCGGCCGGCCCGGTGAAATAATGATACTTTAAGTAGTATGGTAGCAATAATTAATACATGTATATTATTATAGAATAGTAAT